ACTATTTAACTAGAGAAAAAAGAGCAAGCGGTAACAAATAATACCTTAGTTATTTTCGGGACTGATTTAACTACTCGCTAAAAATAGACTTGACTATAAATTTTGCTCTCGAAAGTGGGAGAAATTTTTTGAGATATTTCAGTTCTTTTAGTCATCGAATGAAAATTCGCTTTTTCATTGTTCTTATTCATCAGTTTTTTTTAACTTTATGCAAAGATTTCGTTTTGCTGAAAAACTATATTAATATATCTTCACAAATTTTTGGATGATTTTGTGAATTTTATGGAAAGGAATATAAATGGCTAAGAATAAGTTTGATAGATCAAAAAATGTTTGGTAGACTTCCTTAAAACTTGGATTTATTTGAATAACAATCCTCAGGAAACTCAAGCAAACTTTTTTCAATTCTTTATACTTTATCATTACGCCGATATGTCACTGTTTCCTCACTGGAAAACACAAATATTATAATTTTAAAGTATGAAGATTATTTAGTCCTCTCTCTAAATCAATGTAACCAAATGAACGCTCTGTGAATATGTCTTTAGACATTCGTTAGCAGTTTTAACCTATCTGAAAGAAAGATGCATTCGACAATTTATGGAATGTTTAACAGTAAATAGTGAATTTTTGAAGTATGTGAGTTTTTTTAGCAATCGCTGTTTCACTTGAGCCTGTGTGTTGTATTATTCGAATTTCAGTACATTATAATTTTAATTTCCTACTAAATGCTTGCTTGAAAAGAGAAAGCTTTCTGAAAATCGGTTTGAATATTTTAGCAATTTTAGTAGAAGTAAACTGCTTAATTGATCTGGAAATGAGTTAAAGACTGTTGACAGTAGCAATGATAATTATAGTAATTCATAGAAATATCTAATAACAATTAATATTCAATAATAATAATAATAATAAATAATAATAATGATAATGATAATAAATGATAATAATAATAATAATAATAATAAATATTAATAAACAATAACTGTTAATAATAATAAAATAATAATGATGATAAGTAATAATGGTGATACTGATGAAATAGCAGTAACATTTATTACTGTTGTTAACTTTTGTTAAAATCGCTTCTAAAGTATACTAATAGGATTCGGTATTTCAGATTAGTTTTTAAAAAAAATTGATTGGCAAAGATACATTTTTAGGGTTTATTTGTCTTATGGATTTGCTCCTCTCCTCTTATCTACTGAGGCAATCTAAAACTAGTTTTAAAAAAGCTTTACCGATAGTTCTAATTTATTACGCTTTGGAAATTTATTAGTTAACTGTACTTATTTGAATAATTTTGCTCGTTTATTTCGCATTTTGCTGAGAAATTGAATTGCAGCCTAAATTGTATGCCACACTAATTACTTTTTCCTTAGCTTCAAAAATAATAAAACGATAGCATTTGAGTTTAAATACCTGATAATTATAGCAGTCAATCTCATTATAAGAGTGTATTTAGATATTATTTTTTTCCACGCACTCAAGATAAGAGTAATGGCTGAAGAAAGATGCTGCTTTCGTGTGATTTGATAATTTTTAGTAAATGAATACATTTGGCTAATAAATAAGCAAATTAACAGAGAAAGTTTAGGTTTTGAAAGATTGCTCAATTTTATGCTTTGCAGTTGTTATCCACTTCTATTATCTAATGTTGCTGGTAGAATCACTTTTAGAAATATAAGTATAAAGAATGTTTTGATTGCACAGACTTTTAAGCGAATAGGATTAGTATTTGCTGATAAATACTAGCCATAAATGCTGTGAGAAGCATGAAGTTTGATGTAATTTTTAAATTCATTTTTCGGTCATACATTTTGATGGAGCAAAATGACTCGGAAAAATGTTGAGTCAATATAAATTTTCTAATTTTAAAATGTATGTAATTCTGTTATTGTTCTTTTACTTTACTGTTTTTTAAGGAATGAGAAATTATTCCTATCGTTTCTAGAAATTTTATACAGGTCAAATTTGAAGAGTTTTACTTAGTGCCAGAACTATATCTCAACTAATTTTATTCATTATAATTGATCTAATTACTGAAAGATGTCAAATTTCTAATTTAATTACCCTCACTTGTCTTCTTGTAAGTAATTTCGGTCTTGTAAGAGAAAGTTAAAAATTTGTGTAAATTGATTTGGCTGTCTTCGAATGCTTCTTCAATTTGATAATCTGTATTAAATGGCTCTGTAAAACAAAATTTATCAATTGCTTCCAGCAAAATTGAAATGAACTCTGATTCTTGTTTATTATTAAATTCATTTTATTTACTTAATTTTCCCTTTAAAATAACACATACTATTGAGCAAAACAAATTTTTTGGAAAGAATCGCTCATTTGATGTAGAATCGCGCTCTACATAATGTCAACAAGTGTAAATTTTCGTTATCAGTCATAAGTCTTATCGCAATTATTTTGACGTTATTAGCAGTTTCTGGAGCTTAGTTGATTCGTTAAGTATGAGCTCATCATTGCCTTATTAATAGATCAAGCTAAATGAGAAAATAGAAGACTTAAAGTAACGTAATTAAATCAGAAAAATACAGTGAAACAAACAGTTATTACTTTTTTGAGGCGTTCAGTCAACTGCAATTCATCAAATCTACAAGATAACTAGTTTTGAGCTATCAACAAGAAATGATGAATTTGAGAGATTTTTTAATAAAATGTAAAACTCTAATATGAATCAAAAGATGATGAATTAGTTCGATCCATCCGGTATTTGCATTTGAACTTTTAAGGTCATTGAATTCTTCCACAGACAATTAGTAAATAAGGAATTCTAAAGTTGTGACAAGATCCAAAATAGAAAATTTTGCACAATTGAATGTTCTGCATTAATATTTATTCCCTAGCTGTAAGAGTAATTGCATTAATTTAGATATTTTACTAATGATTCGCTCCCCAAGTACATTTCAAATTCTAAACGCAAAATTAGTAGCTGGCTCTCACTCCATTTTTGTTTTTTCGATACCTCGATAGTTCCTTCTGATTGCATTTTATTTCAAGATCACATTTTTGTGTTCTTTCGCATTTTTGACAGTCTTATGCACACATTCCAACTTATTTTGTAGTTTTGATCAGCTTGGAAAATTTGAGCATATTACTTCGATAATAGTTTCTTCTAGATGTAGTTTTGTAGCATGGATTTCACTTCATAATAAGCTAAGGAAAATAATTATATAAAACCACACTTTTCCATAATTAGTGCTTAGGAAGATATTAATCAGCAGTACTAGTTGATGTCACTTGTTTTCTCATGAAAAAGAGTTGCAGATTTAAAGCGCTATTTCGATGTAATCTGGTTTTGCTAGTTATTTTAATTTATATTTAAGCTCATCAAGCTAGTTCGTTTTTTTTTGAATTTACATTTGCTTGCTTGCAAAGAATGCCTTTGCAATTCCCAACAGCATCTTTTGCTTCGCTTTGCATAATTATACAACAAATTTACATATTAAAAGAATACAACCACTGCTTTGAATAATAGTAGTCTTCTGAGATTTGATTTGTAATTTGTCGTGAAAGTTTTATTCCTTTCCACGTAGTCAAATATATATCTTCAAAATTATATGTATATATATTTTATAGTTTTTTTTCGTATTTCATGAATTATATTTGCTCACAGATTGAAAGAGAAAATTTCACTGCTTATTTTCTGGACAAATTTTCATTTTTTATTCTCACTTTAGAGCTGAATGAATTATTATTTCCAGATAACCGCCATGTACTTGCGATCTCGTTGGCTTAAAAGTCGACTTTGGCGGCTATTACCTGTGCGAATTTGCCTGCTTGTTATATTTTTTATTATTGCTTTCGAACTCTCTTCCAGTTTTATTTCCTACACTGACAAGGCAAAGGTTATTTTCAGTTTTTTGATCGAGAATTGCGATCTTCCTGAGCTTTT